GGTGGGATTCGAGCTCACGCAGTAAGGGGCAGGCCTTAGTACAGCCAACGCTCTAACTACTTGAGCTACGTGGTCCTGCCGGACGACGCGAGTTTAATCACATTTGGGTCAAGTTATCCGCCTAACCTACTGCATCGTCTGGAATCCACCAAATGTGATACAGTAAGTTGACTGCCCAAGCAGGATTTCCTAAATAATTCACCCAGAAACCCCCAGATGACTACCAGGCTCACGTAATACACAGATATTTTGGCCTTCGCCTTACTGCGTGGGTTCGAATCCCACCCAGGCGCCGAGTTTTTCTTAGTTAGGTCGATATGAATTCCTTGTTCCAAATTATACATTTAACCGCTAAGATAAACTATATTAAGACAAACTTACATAAAATCAAGCAGGTAAAGTAACCCTCATCGTCTAAACGCCCCGTCATGATGGCATGTCTTAAGTTCGTCCTAGATCTACCCATACTGGGGTACGTAATCCATTGCCTTTCGGGTGTGTGATATTACTGTCTGTGCTAGTTACGGGAAGTGGGAAAGCGTTAACCGGCGAGCCCCCGTGCGCATTTTTGGGAGATTAGGCCAATTGGGCCGCATCCGTCCTTGCCTCACCGTGGCTCAACCATGCAGTCCAACCCAGCACAATTGGGTCGGGCTTAAACCAAATGTTTCATTTTTGTAAATCACGATCTTAGAGCAAAACTATGGTATTTTACTCTATTTACCATTCACTTAATTAGTTCCTATCAACCATTTCACTAGAAAAAACTCCTTGGTTATCATATGTGTCCCAGATTCCTTCCTTATTTTTGGGAGATTGCGCCATTTGGGCCACATCCGTCCTTGCCACACCGTGGCCCAACCGTGTAGTCCAACCCTAGCTCAATCTAGCCAAATTGGGCCGGACTGGGCTGGGTTGGGCTGGTGCTGGCAGGGGTGCCTTATTTCAAATCAAAGGACAGGGGCCATCTAAGGCACCACTCGTCCAATCGACGAAGATTTTTTGGAAGTTGGTCTCATCGACAGCATCGTGGATGACTTTCCAGATTTTCACTGGTCGCTCAACATTCATCGAATCGTGCTACTTATTCAGTAACTATGAATTCAATAATGTATAAATTTTGCATACCTCGTCTAAAATCCTAAAATGAATGTATAAGTTATTCTTTCTTACTATGAAAGGAACCCAGGGTCTTGAATAAAATTATTATTATTATTATTATGTCATCCGCGAACAGGGCGTAATCACAATCTAAATCCTCTACACAACCATTAATAAACAAAGGGAGGGTCAGTCCGAGCACTGAGCCTTGTGGGACCCCATTCTCTATGGCTGTGCACCTAGATTGCTGTTGCTCAACGCAAACAATTTGGGAACGGCCGACGACGATATCCTCGGTCCGGTGTCCATCACTCTCAACTTGTAAAGGGGACGCTGGTGCGGAACACTGTCAGATGCCTTCCAGAAATCGATGTAGACTGCATGCGCAGTGTGTTTTACATCGGGTTTTCTTGTCCAGCTTTGCACTGTGTATAGCAAGTTCGTCACACAAGATTTTCCCCTACGAGAGCCGCATTGTGCATGAGGGAGAGGTTGCGGGTTTTCAAATAAGCCATCAACCCCCTTTTAATGGTTTTCTCCGCGACTTTGCGGCCGACTGACGACAGACTGACAGGTCTGTAGTTCGTCGCAAGAGCACGACTACCGTTTGTATAAAGCGGTGTAATGTGGGCCGTCATACAGTCTGTGGGTAGGATTCCAGCATCAAACGACGCCTGACATAGAAAGGATAACGGTTTGGCCAACTCTCGGGAAAGTTCAGAGCGCTGTTTTGCGGGGACCTCGTCCAGACCGGGAGATTTACAATAATAATAACAATAAGTTTATTGAATGCCAGTTTACGGACATTGTCAGAGAAGCGTTAAACACATATCCGGCCAGCAGGAAAAAAAAACTCCTGTAGAAAACGAATAAAAATAAAGTTGATGGTGGTTTTTATGGTTTGCAAGGTTCAGGAGAAAAAAACTGCTGACCGCATGCTTTTTACCCAAGCTTTTTACTTCTTTGAAAATTGCTTCTTCTCAACATACAATATTTTCAATAATCACATCCCACATGCTCTCAACAGTAGGTGGAAGGAAAACAGTTTCTCTTGTGAAAACAGATTGGTAAAATAGAAAAATTTGCCCAGTTTTGCTTGTGCTGTCCGATATTTCCAAACCGTCATCATTCCCCAAGACAGGAATCGGATTCCTGCTACAGGTGTGTTTCTCGCAAATAGCTGTGGAGCAATTTTGGATTTTGAACGGCTCGGTGGAGCAAATTACCCTTTGAGATCTCGTCATCGCTTGAAAATTAAGCCCTCCACCTTGTTTCTCTGGACTTTATATTCTGTAAAGGCCGCATTATTATTGCTTTCGCAAAACTCCTTCCACAACCCTCCTTTCTTGTTGATCTGTTTGTTTTTTTAGATTTTGTGTTAGCCACTGAGGTCGGTTGGATGTCCTAGGTTTTGAAAAGGGACAGCGGCTCTTCATTAGATGCAGCAACCGATCATTGAATCAATTCCAGTTCTCGTTGACGTTCCCGCACAAGAGGGGATCCCAGTCTATTTGTGATGCCTCAGCTCTCATTTGGCAAAAGTCCTTTTACCATATATCTGGCGTAGCTTCAGTTATTGCATACGGTGCAGAATATAGTTCATAATCTCGTAGTAGAACTGCACGATCACTTCGCTCGAGCGCAGGTAGGCAGTGCACCTCGCCTATGCTGTTAGAATCTTTGGCCATGACGAGATCCGAGCAACTAGCCTGTTGACCTCCACGCGCTCTAGTTACAAATAGAACACGCTGTGTGAAGAACTTCTAATGTTCTCTCTAAAAGAGGGTAACCGAAGGTATACTGCGAGCACCTCGCATGCATATAGCTCCATTGAATGCAGAGTGAATTAAGTCGCCCATGATTACAACGTTCGGTCGACTACCGATCTCTTTAATGCGTTACAGCAGACTAGTATCTGCGTCAGGGTCCGTCCGCGGGGGTCAGCAGATAGTTAAAATTTCGAGGGACTGCCTTTATTGTCAGCCAGATAGCCTCTATGTCGTCGGCAATCTTGTCGACCATCTCAACTACCGTAAAGTTGCTGTTTGCATACATGGCAACTCCTTCGTCCTGACAAGCCCTCCTGTCTATCATAAGCAGTTGATATCCTGATAGTGCTACCTCGCAATCATCCACGTTTCTGTTGTTGCTATAACGTCCGGAGGCATATTAGCTACCTGTGTTCTCAGTTCGTCGAGCTTGGAAAGCAGACTCTGAGCATTATTGTAAAAGAATTAAGTTTGCAACATTTGACAGTGCTTCGTTCGGTTTAACTCAAGTTGCCGCCGCCATCATGACCACTGGCTGGTTTCAGAGCAACACCGCGCTCCTCTGTATCCCTGGTCCCCGAAAAAACCAAGTTGCTTTCTCCAGCTGCAAGTCTCCTCTTCAGCTCCGTCATTAATTCGCGGCGTTTCAGACGTTTCGCTGGAGAATAGTCCGACAGAAGTCGGTGACGGTGCGGTTCACCTAACATACAGTAGATGTGCTAACTCATAAAATGTCAACCGAAATTCCAGAATGCGTTCTCATTTCGAAAAGATTAAGCAAGTAGGGTTGTAAAACCAGTCAGCCTGCAACATAATTATATAATATTTCAATTACCGTACGATGCCGGCTTTCGAATGAATTTCCTTCCGGCTGCATGCGAAAACTGCACTCTGTAACAAATGACTACTTATGTAGCAGGAATGTTTCTCATTGATTTTCGATGCCCCTAAAAGTCCAATTATATTTTATGGCCAACATGCATAAAAATATTCATTCCTTCGGTCATTCCGTAGATACTTACGTCCTCTTCTAATTTTTCTACTGGAAGGAGGGACATAATTCGGTTTTAAGAAAGTTTCTAATTGTGGGACTTTTAAATACCGTTAAATGGCCGTTCATAAATCGTCATGTCCTTGCATTTACCACTGTGGCTTGTAAAGTTAACAATATGGATCAAATCCATTGCTTAATTTTACGAACCCTATATGGTCTTCCTTTATTACCGTAGAGAAATGTGCGGTTTACCGTACGCGGAAAATACACGGCTTGTAGTTTGGAAACCCCGAATCCAAGGGTAACGGTGTTTTCAGTTTATTTGATAAGGATGATAGGCAAAGCCTTTGAAAACCCTATTGTTTACATGTCAGCTCGTTAGAAATAACTGTACAGGAACAATGAAAATATTCGCTATATAAACAGTACTTGATTCATTTGAGTAGCATTGTCTCAGAGAAAAAATCTGTGGGGAACCGGGGTATTTAGCTCAGATTCAGACTGTCGAGGGAAATCAAGGGACACAAATAATCATCCAAGCGTCTCTTGAAGAGTTGCAGGGATATCGCCTCCACGACTGACTGAGGGAGATCGTTCCATTTCTCCACTACCCTTTGCGTGAAAAATTCAGAACGAAGGTTCAGCCTGGACATTGTTGTCCGTAGCTTCATCGAGTGGCCACGAAGATTGGGTGAAAGGTGCCCCTGAAACATGCCCTCAAAGCTAAGTCCATGCTCAAGGCCATTTATTATCTTGTAAACCAGGATTAGATCACCTCTTTGCTGCCTGTAACACAGAGGGAATAAATTAAGGCAATTTAGTCTGTCCGTGTAGGATTGGCTTTTTAGACCGTTTACCATCTTAGTTGCCCGACGTTGCACCCGTTCGAAGCATGCTTGGTCCTTTACCAGCCATGGCCGCCATGCTTGTATGCCATATTCTAAGTGAGGCCGAACGAAGGTGCCGTAAACTCCCCCAAAAAGGTCTTGGTCAAAGGTAACGAACGCCCTTTTGATTGCATGAAGCACTCCCATGGCGTTTTTTGCAGCCTTGTGGCACTGCAGTGTTGGTTTCAGGTTGTTCTGTATCCAAATCCCGAGATCCTTCTGTGAAGATTCTGCGGGAAGTCTTATATCTTACAGGTTATATGTCCTCAGGCTCTCATTTGAAAGAGAGTTGGTTGGACGCAGATGAAGGACGGCACACCTCTGCACATTGAAGTCTAGAAGCCACTTCTCCGACCACGCTGGCTGTCGATGACGATTGTTTTGGAAGGTTCTCTGGTCGTTAGGACTCTTAATGACTTGCCAGAGCTTAACGTCGTCAGCAAACATTATTTTGCCACAGTCGAGTTCCTGAAGGCTGTCATTAACAGAAAGGAGGAAGAGCAATGGTCCCAGAACTGAGCCTTGCGGCACACCACTGGTCACATTCACCCATTCTGACATATCATCACCGATGCAAACACGTTGTTTCCGGCCAACCAGAAACGCCCCTATCCTGTTCAGAAGATCTCCCCGGATGCCGATGGCGCTCAATTTGTGAAGAAGGCGTTGGTGCGGAACAGTATCGAAGGCTTTGCGAAAATCGATGTACACGACATCAACCTCAAAACCCTCTTCCAGGGCCCTGGTCCAGATCTCCAGACAAGCTAGCAGATTTGAGAGGCAGGAACGTCCTCTCCGGAAGCCATGCTGAAAATCCTGCAAGATGTTATTTTCTTCACAAAATTGCTGTATGACACTCTTCACTAGAGTTTCCATCGTTTTGCACGAGAGGCAGGTTAAGCTAATAGGCCTGAAACAGCTTGCTGCCATCCTTCTAACGCCTTTATGTAAGGGAACGAGGTTAACTGTCTTCCACTGTGATGGCAGCCTTTCTGTCCTCATTGACAGCTCAAAGAGCGTCGAAAGAGGCTTCGACAGCTCCGTTGACAGCCCAGGAATTCCGTCGGGTCCAGGAGACTTATCTGGTTTTATTTGACTGAGGACGCGTCTTACTTCTTCGACGGAAAAGGCAACGGTTTCAATGACGGCAGTATCTTGGTGCATTTGAAGCTCCCGGCTGTTTCTGTCCATTTCAAACTGCTGATCGTCTTCTGAGGACTCCTCCGTAAAGACCGATTGAAAAAACTGAGACAGTAACTGCACTTTCTGTGGCCCTTCGACTAACAAGTTTCCGAGGCTATCCTTAAGACACGCAACTTCGTCCCTATGTTTTCTTCTAATACGGATGTATCCGTAAAACTTCTTGGGACATGTAATGGACTCTGCTACCAGTCGGCGCTCAAAAGAAGTTCTAGCAATCCGTATTTGTCTGCGGCATTTATTGCGCTGATCCTTATATTCGGCGAATGACATTGGATCTCGAAGTTGCAAATACTTTTTCCACAGCCTCTGTTTCTTCTTCATGGCCTTTTTTGTCGTCGGATTGACCCACGGCGGTCGCGCACATGGTCGTGTTATTTTTATTGGACAGTAGGAGTCAATTAGACGCTCTATAATCCCGCGAAAGTACTGCCAGAATTATTCTGAATCTTCGTTGTTGATTAACCAGGTTTCCTCCAAAAGAGCACGTCTCATTGCGTTAAAATCACCCTTCCAAATATTTCTGCGACTCTTGATTTTTGGTTGTTGGTTCGATAGGAGAGAGCACACGCATGTAAAAGCAATATGATCGCTTAAACCGAGGGCAGGTTGGGGATTCACTTCTCTTATGACTCCTTCTTCTTTACTAAAAACGAGATCTAAACAGTTGGATCGTTGTCCGTCTCTTAGTCTTGTTCCGAATTTTATGTGTTGAATAAGGTATTAATTCAGGGAGAGTTGTAGTAGCTTGTGGTCAAATGACGTGTACGGGGCGTTTGCTAAGGGAACTTTCCAGTCTATTCCGGGAGCGTTAAAGTCACCCAGAAGAAGTAAGTTTTCCTGCTTACATAACAACTCTAGTTTGCTAAGTAATTCCACATCGGCGATTTCATTCGAGCTGGGAGGCCGATAGAAAACACACAGGTTAAGTGTCGGTAATTGTTTGATGCATGTCTTGCATGAAATTATTTCAAAATTTCGCGGCGCGTCATCGGATATTTCTCGCTGACAGCAAGGAATTTCATTTGACACATAAATCGCTGTGCCTCCTCCTCTTCGTTGAAATCTGTCACAATGGAACAGTTGGTAGCCTTCAATACTGACTTCGCTACTACTTATCTCCCCAGATAACCATGTCTCTGTTAAGACAATTATGTGAGGCTTCTGTTCAGAGACTAGTAATCTGACTTCATCTAGTTTGTTGAGGAGGCTCTGACGGTTGGTGTAATAGATTTCTAGGCAACGACCACTGGTGCCCACAGCCTCAGGAGTTGGCACTTTGCATTGGTTAGGCGGTCAGAATGACGGCCTTCGGCCAGAGAAATGTCCTCTTGACCTGCATTATTTGTCCGTTCTTGATTTGTAGGTGGGTTTCGCCGCTGCTTCTCCACTTTTCCAGCTCCATCATTAGCTCTCTCATTTTCATTCGTTCCTTTGGCTCGTAGTCCGGCTGAAAAAACACTTCAGGATGCTGACTCCGCAGAGATGCTTTTCTCTGTAACAGGAGCTGTGCCTGTGCGTCAGTCTCCAAAATGACTTTTAGGGGCCGAGGCCGGGAATAGGAACCGGACGCTGACTGAATATTCCCTATTCGGAATGTTTTGAGAACAGTAAGTGACTCGTCGTCTCTTAACAAAGCTTTCGCATACACTTGACGAAGGTCAAAATCATGTTTAACTCTCTCCTTTGGAATTGTTGCCGTTGATTCGGGTACTCCTTTTATAAGTACATTTTGCTTGCGACTGAATGTAGCGCTCGTTGTTGTCGCAAAGCTTTTGAAAGACTGAGCGTTCTTCTCCAGTTCACTAGTTTCGCTGGCTCCGGATGAACTGGCTATTGGGCTAGGGAAGCACAGATCTGTGTACGAGTCATTTATCTTCGTGTTGATAACACTGCCTTCTGTGTTTCCGTCTTGGTCGTCCAAAATGCTAGCCTCAGTTTCTTTTGAAGCCTCCCCTTGAATATTCTGTCTTGGTTTCGGTCCACAAGGTGTTCCAATATCTTTACTGTTCAACATAGTTGGGAGCATCCGGCTGTCCTTTGGAGTATCGGACAGAGACTCAGGCATGCTCTTTAGGACAATGCATTTACTGCGATCAACTAGAGGACCTTGTGGTTTAACCATGCCTTCAGAGACTTCATCACGGATATCCCAACTACCGTCATCCACCGATTTAGGAAGGCTTGATTCGGTAGGACTAACGCTGACTGCCTGTTTACTACGATCTTAAGGTCATTTGTCATTTTCAGCGGAACGATTTTCGCTTGCGGTGCAGCCACCTCTTGCTCCCTTGCCTGACTCTCTGTGCCTTTCCGAGGTGCTCTGAGACATCTTTTAGTTAGATGAGATCGCGTCTGGCCACCCTTTTCTTGCAGAAGACACTGTTTGTCATTCATATCGAGCTCTAGAGACCGACTATTTTCTTCTCCTCTGGCGACACAGCCGAGGAAGCCATGTTTGCATATGTCCGCTCACTGTCATTCTCTTGGAATGAGTAGCGAGGGTGATTCCTCAGCTTCTCCATCTCCACCTTAAGGCCCTTAATCTCCTTCTCCATTTCCGCAAATTTTTGAAGGAGTCCGAAACATGTCGTACAGGCTTCGTCTTCGTATTTGATATCCATAGAGCTTATTAAACTCCTTGCTCGTTTAACGGGAGGTGACTTGACAGCGATATGTACAGGGTTAAAGTCGTTTGTACTACGAATAATGTTTGCCTCTTTATTTATTTCAGCCTCCCGACCGTGCGCCTGTAGTCTAGTGGTGATCTCGTTTGTCACCCCGCGGCGGCTCCTGAGTTCAAATCCCAGTGGAGGCGACTTTTTGCACATTGTCCTGAAGGTGTTTTGTCTACTCCCATTATTAATTCAAAAGATACACAAGGTATTCTAGGTATGGGACGAAGTGTTTAAAGGTGTAGGAGGAGATTTTTAACCGGGCCAATAATATGAAGCAAATAGTAAACGACTCAGCCGTTCTTGGAACTGGAAAGTCCGGCAGTGCTGTTGGCAGAGAAGTGATACGAAGGAGAAAGGTTGTCCCGAAGAAAGTTCTGCCAATGTTCCGTGTGGATCGTTCGAGGAATTGCTGATTACGCCTCAATTTCTTAATACAAATGGGCCTGCAGAGCGTCCAGTAGACAGAAATCCCGAAAAAGGCAAATCCCTCGGAGGTCGAAAATCTCAAACCGGTAGAGCGGTTTCAAAATTATTCGGGAATTGGAAAAGTTTTTAAAAAACGGATTATACCCTTCCTTCGAGTATGAGATTGGAAGAAGACGTAAGTATCTACCGAATGAAAAATAATTGGACTTTTAGGGGCATCGAAAGTCAATGAGAAAAATTCATGCTACATAAGTAGTCATTTTTACAGAGTGTACTTTTTGCATGCAGCCGGAAGGAAGTTCATTCTAAAGCCGGCATCGTGAGGTAATTGAAATATTATAGAATTGCGTAGCAGGCTGACTAGTTTTACAACCCTACTTTATTAATCTTTTCAAAACGAAAACGCATTTCGGAATTTCGGTTGACATTTCATGTGTTAACTCACCTACTGTATGTAGAAAGCAACAAACTGGGAAGCTGCACGTGGCGAGCAACATCGTGCGTGATGTAAGTCTGCAGCGCCTTAGATAGCACAGCTGTACATCCGTTGCATCACAGTCATCAGACAAAGTACTGACTGGCAAGATCAACTCGAAAAAATTACATAAGCAGAGTTGCGATACCGTGCAGCATAATCCCATGATAATTCAGTTTTTCAGAAGACGAAGATGCGGTCACTGAAACAAGAAATTTTTGGCCTGACGTTCCGGATTCTTACTCGAACACATCGTCAGAGACAGTCGCAGATATTCCAGGATGCCGGCATTTATAAGAACTTTTCGGTTGCCTGCGAAAACTACACTCCGCAAAAATGCCTACTTAATTAGCATGCATTTTTCTCATTGATTTTCGACGTCCTTGTAAATTTAAATATATTTCACAGAAAACATGCACAAAAATATTTATTCTTTTACTCACTTGGTAGAAAATTACGTATTCTTTGAATTATACGCCCGAAGAAAATGCATGATTCGGTTTTAACGAAGTTTCGAATTAGATTTTTGAAGACCGTGAAGTGTCCGTTCATAAAACTCCGTTTTTTCTGCATTTACTAACGTTCCTTATACAGTTTACAATATGGCTCAAATTGACTGCTAAATTTTATGAAGCCCCATGACCTCCTCCTAGTAGCGTATAGAAAGATGTGATTTTCCGCACGCGAAAAACGTAAAGCTCGTAATTTGAAAACCCTGAATGCGTGTGTAACGGCACGTCCGGTTCACAATTATTTGGGAACTGGAAAAGTCTTTTTTAAAACCGAATTATTCCCTTCCTTCAAGTAAAACATATGACAAAGACGTGATTTTTTACCAAATGGGCAAAAGAAGGAATATTTTTTGTGCATGTTTTTTATGAAGTATATTCGAATTTACAAGGACGTCGAAAGCCAATGAGAGAAATCCATACTACTTAGGTAGTCATTTCTTACAGAGCGTAGTTTTCGTAGGAGGCGGGACAGTTCATTCAAAAGTCGACGCCTCGAAGTAACTGAATCATCATCGGATTACGCTTAACGGTGATTAACTCTGCAGCTCTAAGTAAGTATTTTTCTTGGAGTCATTAACGCATTTC